ATGATGTTGATGATGATGATGATGATGATGATGATGATGATGATGATGATGATGATGATGATGATGATGATGATGATGATGATGATGATGATGATGATTAGGATAATAGGATTATAACAACAAACTACCCTGTCACCTGATCCACAAAAGGACAGTGCACATGAAATGATCGTTTCTGGTTGTGCAAGCACTTGCAACGGAATCAGCGATGATAAAAATACCATTCAGATTTAAATGGGAGGTACTTTTCGATTATCCCCCTCCCCCCCCACCGAAACCCCTGTTTTGAACAAGCTGAACCGAAAACAACTCTAAAAAAGGAACCAAAACAGATACAAATAGTTTATAGAAACAAAATGTAAAAACAAAGTAATTTATTCTAAAGAACAGGAAGACCAAATGTCACATCTTTCATCGACCTTCAAAGTTGTAGCCCTAACTAATCAGAATGCTCCTTTCTGTTAAAGTGAGGCACTACGTTAAAGTAAAAGGAAAAGGAAAAAGACAATTCACCATTTCAACAAAAAACGAAATAAAATACAGTGGCTAATGCTAAATGTGTATACACAGGTGAAAGAATCTCTATTGAGATGAAATGTTCAGCCATGCAATTCTACTGAAAGAAGCGGGGCGTCGCACATTCTTTATAAAAGTAAAAGCGTTGCTTTGTGTCAGGAAAAGTCAGTCATATCAACATAACACTACACCTTGTTTTCTTCATTCACTGAAGACTCACATTCTAGTCATCTGATCACTATGGAAGACGACTCGTTTTGAGGCACTTAAAAAGAAGTAGAAGCAAAGCTTCGTTGTTTGTACAATATTTTTTAAAATTCTGTTTCCTCTTTCTGGAGTTTAAAAAGGCAGAAAACAGAAGGCGTACTATAAAATATGCAAATTCCTGTTTCTTATTTGTGTATCATGGTTCTAAATGCTCGTATTGTGGTTCTAAATGTGCTGCAACATTGCCTTTGGAGTGCTGATCGCAAATTACAATTATGTCGAGTTCGCTAAATCCTGAAACTTTAAGTACGGGTACACACATACACGCATACACCCCCACCCCCACCCAGACTCACACACATAAAACATAGCATCCGCCCTTACTTCCTCATAGACAAAACTACAGCCATAGAACTTGAGGTTACGAAAACAAGGGCGTTTTTGTGGTTGCAGTCTCGTTTATCTTCACTTACATAACGCGTCATTGATGACAAAATCTTGAAAAAACACGTATCTTAGCTAGTTTACAGTTTACGTCTCTTTTCAGTAGACAACTCGGGAATGATTGCCACAGGACTCCGCTAACTAGCCCTCATAGGCTCAGATTGTCATACATGTACTGTGGTGTCATCTCCGGTTTGCTTTTTAAACAGTTAGATCTAGTCGTGTAGCTCCAAAAGTCTCGATTCCAGCTGGAAAAGCTCAAGTAATGCTTTGATAAATATATCGGATGCGACTAAAACTTGTTTGCGACAGCAGGTAATACAGTGATGTCACAATCATAAGATGAAAGAAAACCCCGGGGGCAAACTACGTTTACGATGTCACAGATACAAGAGAGAAGACATACGCACTCACTAGCCAGCCTCGGTCCACTAGTCCAAAACCATACAATGACACACACTCTACAGACTCCAGTCCTTAAGCACATGTAAAAGCGAACGACAATGTAGTGGTATAGGCTATAGACTACTATGTAGTCTCCTAACTGTGCCCGACAGTGCCACATAAATAGAAAACAGACGCACATCGGCAAACATTAAAAGAATATAATAAAAAAAAAATAAAGTAATAAATAAATAAATAAATAAATAAAACAGGAAAAAATACACCTTGGAAAGAAGGTTTAGTGCTCAACTTCTATTGCTGTTCCTAACAGGAGGGAGAGGGGGATGCAGAACAGTACGAAGTACATGATACAATCAAGGCGGTTTCGACAAACTACAAATGGCTAAAGTTTCACTACCGGTCTAAACAGAGGTGTTATAGAGATGCAATCACTACAGAACGATAGAGCGAGGCCAAAGTGATACCTTGAGATTCAATACTATGCACTATAACCATGTATCTTTGGCTTCTCTTCCGTCAGTGAAAACCGTTAAACGCTGTGGCTACAAGCCCCTGGGAACGCCAACATGGAAGAAACAAAGATTGGATTGAACATTTCTACAGTCACGCTTTGGGAAGTGTCTGAGGAGGGGCCTTCAAGTATGTCCGTTCCCACACAGGAAGAGGAGGAGGAGGAGGAGGAGGAGGAGGAGGAGGAGAAAAAGAAGGGGGAGGAGGATTGGGGAGGGATGGGATCATTGATAAA